ATGGGTAGAGGTTGTGCTCACCATAGTCTAGAGGCAGGGCGCGGGGGAAGCCATGCATTTGTAAGCAAGCTGCCCCACACCACACCGGGGCAAGCAGACTATGCACAAAAGGAGAAAAACACAGAGAGTGTAGCTTACACCTACTGCAGTGCTTCATTTACTGTTGATACAAAATTAGATGTTTTGTGCACCCACGCTGTGTGTGTGTGTGTGTGTGTGTATCTCATTATACATACACACACACACACAATATGCTGGGCTCTTCTCTAAGATAAGATTCACGTAGCTCATGTGAAAATGATCGAAAAATAATTCTTGATGACTAAGGTACATTCGTTTGCAAAAATGTACAATTTTCATCCGTTAAGAGTGACAAGACTACTTAAGTAAGCGGCCTTTGATTGCCGTTTGCTTTTGGCAAAAAGGAAGTACAGTTCTGGCTGCTGCTGCCATTCCTCCTGCTCAGAGCCCAACAGTTGTTTGCCAGGTTGGAAAAAGAAGCAGCTTCTTTCCATGGCAGGTCTGCAGCAGAGTTTCCTCTTTCGCGATGTGGCGGCAGAGAGTCCCTGCTTCCAAGTAAGAGATGACAAGAGATGGAGCTGGGGCTCTTTTCTTGTAATAACTGCTTAACTGCTTTAATGCCTCAGGGGGCAGGGTTGGGCTGGTGTGGCCCCTTCTTTCCGGTGATGAACGCTACTTAAGGAGGACCACACAGCTACACCATCCAGATGGTTGGAGGAAGATGCCTTAATGGCAAACTTGTGCCATGGGACTGGAGCCCCTGCGAATGGGAACCCAGTCCTAGGATGGGCTTCATGACAGGGAACGCTGTTGTCCATAGCACAGGATGGACTTTGGGAAAACGCCTCCCTTCCTTGGGGAGGGGCATGGGTGAAACAGGAAAACCCAGCCACGCTCCCTTTTATGCAGTGGTTATAGATTTGCAATATTCACTGACCACTTATAAAGGTGGAAAGGTGATCACAGCCTTCAGATGTAATCTCAGCTCTAATCAGGGGTGTCTACGAGGTATGATTTAAAAAAAAATCAAGATGGTGGCCATGACCTAGCAATTGAAGGTCTGCCTGCTTGTGACATATAACACACATGTTGTACACATAACAAGTGGGTGGAACTTCAGTTGTAGCTGCCATCTTGACTTTTTTAACCACACCCTGCAGAAGCCCCTGCTTCTAATGCTTTTCAAGAAAGCTAAGCTTGTCTGTTCAGATGTAAAGAGAAAGGAAGTGAAATGTATGTCCGTCTAGACCAGTGTTTCTCAACCTTGGGAACTTTAAGATGTGTGGACTTCAACTCCCAGAATTCCCTAGCCAGCATTCAGAATTCTGGGAGTTGAAGTCCGCACATCTTAAAATTCCCAAGTTTGAGAAGCACTGATCTAGCAGGAATGACTAAAGAAATACTGCACATGAATTTCACATGTGCCCACTGTCACAGGGTTAAGGCAAGTGCATGAGGGCTGCAACCTAATAAAAGTCAATGTAACCTATGTTGAATCTGATAAAATGTTAATCCTGTTAAATGCATGTATAAATGAATGAGTAAAAGTAATTACCTTAATGAAGCCAGGAGTATATTTTTAATATGATTAAGTGGTAGATAATTATGCCATAGCAGAGAGCATTATATAACTGTTCTTCCCACCTGTGTAAAAAGTGAGAATGTCTCTTCTTACACAGAGCTTTCTGTCTTTAGTTTATATAATCATTTATCATAAAATAGCATTTTAAAATAATCTGCTGTCCAGTTACTCAGGATATTTGTTTTATATCTAACTGACTAATACTGGAGCTCCAATGTCCCCATTTAAAACTAGTTCAAGGGAAAGCGCAGAAAAAGCCTTCAGTGTAGATAATGAGATGTTTACAAAAATATGGCTTAATTCACATATTATAGCAAGGCATGCTTTGTACCAACCACGATCTGAGTTTTCAGATACACAACACAGAAACCACATTTTATGCTTGATTGCTCCTTATTTACTGTTGCTTCAGCTTTATAAATTCATTCTTATCTCAAGGTCCATCAGATTCTAGAGGGGAACCAATGCCCATATCTGCCCATATATCATACCAAACCATATTTAGTATAAACCCACTACATTTACATTCTCATTGTTTGTAAGCCTGGATTAATTACCGTAACTAACCTATCACAACATCAAACTGTTGACCTGGTGGGATATCTGAATCACAACGCTAGACCTTAATATGTAATACTACTAATTCCTATTATTATTGCTGAATTGTGTATGAAGATAGGTTGAACAATATATAGAGATCAGCTACAGGCATTAAAAAGGAATACATAAGAAGATTATTAGTTGAAGCTGAAAGTTCATTTCCAGGTATCAAGTAGCCACAGTGTTTTTTCCTAACAGAGTGAATAGATTTAAATACTCAAGGGAGAGAAAAAACTTAAGAATCCTTAGGGTTTCTTAGGGACATCAGATATTTCCTAGTAGACTGTACTCTGATAACATGCATTTATATCCACCCTTTAAAGCGTAGGATTTATAGTATTTTTTATTCTACTTCTTATAGGTACAATGATAAGGGAGGTTGATTTAACTATACTGGATTGCAGTTTTTCTAACATACTTACATTTATGTCTATGATATGATTTAGCTTTCAGATCCATTCATTCAAG